AATTCCACGCGTGGTGCGTAGTAATTCCAACGCGTAGTAATTCCACGCGTGGTGATTCGACGCGTGGAAATTCCAGCGCGTGATAATTCAGAGCGTAGTAATTCCAACGCGTAGTAATTCCACGCGTGGTGATTCGATGCGTGGTAATTCCAACGCGTGGTAATTCGACACCTGCCAATTTCAACGCGTGGTAGTTCGACGCGTAGTGATTGAACGAATAAACCAACGAATACTTGTATACTCGTTCGCACATATCAACGCGAAATTGTTTATGGCGTGATAATAAAACGCGCAACGATATTACATAAAATGTTTACCAAACATATCACCACCCGTTCCGAATCATTTTTTAACAGTCCACAAATCGAATTATATTCTTAATTGCATTACGACGCGCGGTTTTTTCAAAACAAAAACCCTTGTGAAAAAAAGCGAAACGATGAAATATTCGTTTCGTATGGAAATTCGATTCGCATGGGTCTCTCGGCGAATCGCTCAATTATCGAGCGGCTGTTTGACATTGGTCGGGTTCTACGCGTCGCTATAAATTGCGATCAAATTTTAGAGTGGACCGTGTATTTAACGAAATCGCGAGCCGTGGTCTATTAGCGAACGCATTACGTAAATTATATTGGTCGGTGCATTAATCAGCGCAAGAAATACGCTCTCGTCGCGTACACGGAATATTTAATGACGGGTCAACCAACGCGACAGAAGCGTTCTCACACTGTGTATCGGTGATTATGGCTTAATTAGAGATACCGCAGTCGAACGGGCAAGATTTGTAGTTAGTAACTGTTGCTCGCGTAACTCGAATTAATACCGAGTCCGGTCACGCAGCCCAATAATAGCATCAATCATTGAATCCTAAGGAGTACGGGCCTTCTGTAATTATGGATCGACTGCGTGCCACCAATTTGCACTTTGTAATCAGCGGCACGTAATCTGTGTGCGAATGAAGTGTGCTGAGTGAATTGTTATGGTCGATGAAATTAAAAATTGACGACTTTAAACCTTATTCGGTTAGATGCACGTTCTTTGGAATCATTTATTTGCTACCAAATATAATATCAATATTTTTATGTTATCGACAAATATGTTGACAAAGGAAATTTTATTCTGAAAACGAATTCTATTCTTCGTCAAAGTTTTACGTCAACACGTGTTTACGTTGATACGAACAGATTATATTGTTCCATTTATGCACCTGTCACAATGTACTGAATTTTCTTTGTTCTACTAATTGCACTTGTATTTCTAAAATAAAAGTTTGTATAAAAGTCAACTGGCAGTTTCAGTATTACACACGCTGTAACCATTCGGTAACAAATCCCTCTTTCACAGAAAAAACATAAAAGGAACGAAACGAATCTTTCAAACACTCGCAACATTTTATCTAGATGAAAAAGCAAAAGCCTCGTACGGAAAAAACAGACTAAATTTTATTACGCGCGTAGTTAAAAAATCAATGTTACTTTTAGTTACAGTCTACTAAATCCTTATCCGTTTACATGTAGATACAAAACGGATAGAAAGATCACGGCTCACCCGTGTGTTGAATAGTCAGCTCCGAGATCTGAAATTCCGTGGAAAACACATTTTGCAGATCTAGACATCAGCTTTATCGCGCATAGGTAAATCATAAATCCTTACTTGCACTTCGGGTCGAGTACCGAGTGCATAAATCAAAGCATCCGCGACATCCTCTGGCTCGAGAGCTGGAATTTTCTTCAAAATATCCGTTAATTGAGGAGCATGCTCCGCTATGTTGGTATTCACTATGCCGGGAGAGATACTCTGCAATGAAAGATAAATTAGTTCAAGTTTTATAGCAGATTTACTATGATTTATTTATCAGGTTAGGTCTGAGTAATTACAGCTACGATAATATATACAATGTATGTATTCGACGCGTGGTAATTTGGCGCGTAATAGTCCAGTGCGTAGTAATTCGAAAGCTCAGTAATTCTACGCGTGGTAATTCGGCGCGTAGTAATTCCAACGCGTAGTAATTCCACGCGTGGTGATTCGACG